ATAGGTGTAGTAGTACCTCTTCGGGCTCTTGTACACCTTTTTCTTGCTACGTGTGCGTGTTCTTTAGATCCTCAGATGGCTCCAGCACTTTCGTGACCACGGGCCGAGAGTCTTTGCTAGATTTTGGCATTTAGCAACTGGCATACGGTTTAATGTGAAGTCAACAACAACAACAACAACAACCGTAATAGGATAATATTCATCTTCCTTTGCCCGGCTATCACGCTCTGGGCTATCACGCCCGTGTCCATACTACATATCCACCAGCTATCAAGCGGCCAGGCTGTCACGCCTCTAGGCTATCACGCCATCACAACAGCTATCACAACACCAGCGTCGACACATCAGAGCCATGACGCTACGGAACATCACAGATGCGCAGATGCGGCGGGTTACCACACCCGCGGACAGTGTACTGTCTTACCGTGTATGACACAAAATAACACACCCCCTGGACGGGTTTTCAAAGCTCGATTACTCCACGACGAAGAGGATGCATAGACGAAATTATACATTTTCGAAAAGCTCTCGACGAGACGGTTTCAACGCCGCCATTTTCGGCGCTGTGACTGTTCCTGCAGTTGAGAAATCGAGCTTCGAAAATCGGTCAAGGGGGTGTGTTATCTTGTGTCATATATATCGTTGCCGGTAAACTCGCCGCGCGGTTCTTTTATTTTGCCGTATACAACTGCGCCGGGCGCACCAAGCTCTCCAACACGGGCGGAGAAAGAGACGGAGACGTAGATGAATATGGACGGGGAGCCTCACAGAGAGGCCGCCACCGCTATTGCACACGCTCACACCTCACCCAACACCACCAGTCAGCCGTGTACGCAGGACTGCTGCTGTTTAGCAGCGCTGTGGGAAGAGTGAAAGTGTTTGGTGTGGACGAAGGTTCGAAGCTCTCATGAATCATCATCAGCTAGCTGCTGCTGCTGCTAGCTGCTGCTGCTGTCGCTGTGTGGATGTGCACCACTCTTTCGCTCGTAGCAGCGGCAACGGGCTCAAAAAATCGCCCCCGACGCCCTCTATGTGTGTGTGTATTTGGTCGCCTTGGCCGGCAGCGTATGCACATCTCATTGTCTCTCTGTTTTCGGGCGGGTCTGCTGTGTGTGGATCATCAAGAAGAGAAGATCGGCCTGCAGACAACCGGCGAAGATAGCCAGCCGCAAATTGATGGAGGACTTGTCTGCAATTGCTTCACCCGCTTATACGCTGCTAGCAGCTGGCAACGGTCTTCATAAATCGCTCTCGATGCTTCGCATGATCTTATGCTCCTTTGGCCACCTTGGCCTGCACCGGTTTGTACGTCTCATCGGGTAAGTAAGGGTTAGGGATGCACGGCTGCTGTGTAGCAAGCACCATAGATCGGCCTGCAGCAGCAAGCAGCAGCAGCAGCAGCAGCAAGCAGCAGGAAGGAGCAGATTTGACTTGTGTCGGTTCCCTCGCTTGTGGTGCTGCCGACAGCAGCCAACCGGCTCTGACAGCCGAACCAGACCTCCTGGTATGTGTGCCTTTGGCTGCCCTTGGTCCACAGCAGTCTCGTGTGCTGCTTGCTGTGCTGGTTGGCTCGTGTGTTGTCTACGTGTGTCATGTGCTGCTGCTGCTGCTGTGCAACAACGTCTTTCGGGGGATTCCCGCTCGGCGGCGTGGCCATCGCCCAATCATCTGTCTCTGTTGTTGAGTAGATTTGTGCGTCGGTGCCTTGGCGCGCGGGGTCCCTTGGTTGGGAAACAAAAGAGCCAGCGGCGCGGTAGCCGCCAACGGTACAGTGTAGTAACTATGATTGGGATGGAGCGTGATAGCTCGGGTATACGGTATCTCTGGATGTGACGTGGAAGCCTGGTGACGTGATAGTCGTGGTGTATATGTATAAGTAAGGACGTGGATGTCCGGAAGGCGTGATAGCCGGGTGGCGTGATAGCCGTGGTAGCGTGATAGCCGGGGGAAAAGGACTGGATTGCACACAGGAAGGAGGAAAAAGAGGAAACAAATAGTCTATCTACAAGTGAGAAACCACAACGCACAATCACTGTAGACACACACATACCCCCACCCTCAATCCTGTTGTTGTTGTTGTTGTTGTTGTTGACTTCACATTAAACCGTATGCCAGTTGC